CCGCGGCTGGCCGACGTGGGAAGGAGGCGTGCATTGTCGTCTGACCAGGATGGTCTTGGCGACCTAGACTCTCATGCACACGCTTGTCGCGAATGGAATGACACGTCCTCGGCGGCCGCGTCAGCGGCCTCGGCACCGCGCCGCGGGGCCATCAGCACGCGAGCGTGCAAGTATGCACGCACGCAAGACTGCAATCTGGCAAGCACCCCATCATGCAAGCACGAACGCGTGAAATAGGCGCCGGAACCGCAGGAACCCTGATGGAGACATAGCAAAAGCGCGGCCCGACACGATCGCGGATGGCATTTTCACGCGTGTCCTGTCTTAGTGAAAGGGTGGGGTGAGCAGGAGGAGGAGGAGGAGGCGGAGGAGGAGAAGGAAGAGGAGGAAAAGGAAGTGAAACCCGAACAGGAGATTACAGGAGAGGAGAGGAAGGGTTACAAGAGGCAAGGAGAGGGTTGACCCTCCTCGTCGTCCTCCTCCTTCACCCTCGTCGTCGTCCTCCTTCTCCGTCTCCTACTCTCTCCTCCTCCTCCTCCTCCTCCTCCTCGTCCTCCTCCTCCGCCGCCTCCGCCTCGGCTTCATCCTCCCCTATCCTCCACAACTCCACCTCTCTTCTCGTCTCCCCATGCCCATCCAAAAACACCAGGGCACAGAACAATTCGATACCGTGGCGCCAGGAGTCGTATGCTCCCACGCCCCCAAACTTTTGTTCACCTAAGACGTCCGCCCGAACACCTACGCATGCAGATGGCGTGCACTCTTTCTCTCTCGCTCTCTCTCTCTCTCTCTCTCTCCCTCTCTCTCTCTCTCTTTGTCTCTCTCTCTCTCTCTCTCTCTCTCTTCTCTCTCTACATATATATATATACTTTGTATATACACATATACATATATGTATGTATATATGTATGCCAAGTGTTTATCCCGATCTTGTTAGTTTGAAGTCGTCGGGGAATGGCCGCCTTGGGGTCGCAGAGTCTCGTCTCTCTCCGTGACCTTTTGGGCTCAAGCGCACGCACGGTTCAGTGTCGAACCGTGTGACCGACTGGTTGGGAGCGGGCACCGTCTCACACCTCAGCCTTTGCCCGAAGCTCCGTCGAGTCCAGAGTGCCCGCCATACTCCTGCTAGCTCACGAGCCCCGCTGCGCCGAGCTGGCCAGCGTGCCCCGGATCGCCAGGACCGACCGCGACGAGATCCCTTGTGCTACGCCCTGCCCCTCGACCGAGTCGCCTGCTGAGTCAGTTGACCCGGCGCTCAAGTGGTTTTGCGACTACGTGGTCGACGCCGCCGTCTTCGTCACGACCTGCAGCGGCCTCATCGCGAACGGGTTCTTCGGCGTGGCGGGCGTCGCGACCGAGCGCCGCCATGGCGTCAGGGGTCGTGCAGCTCTGGGGGTGGATCCTGATCTTCGGGGGCCACGTGGGGCAGCAGCGACAAGTCTTGGACCACTCGCAGCCGGCGGGTGCGACACCACTCTATGATTACCAGGTCGAGTGGGCGACCCCAGACTCCGACGTATACTTCGTGCTGCTGGACGGGACCTTGGCGAGGGCGCAGCAGATGACCGTGGAGTCGACCCCCTTCGCCCCCGGGGGCGCACCCGTCGGCCTGGCGGCGGCGGACATCGTGCAGGGGAACGTCGGCATCCCTACCACTCCCTTTGGCGTCTCGGCCTTGGTCTGGGATCTCCAGGCGCCGCCGGTCGAGGAGGGGCCGCCGCGACTTCAGGCTCAGCAGGGCGACGCTCGTCGCCGACAGGGACCGAGATCGTGGACGTTTCGCCCCTTCGGGCGCGGAGTTCCGCCAGTCGCCTTTCCCCGATTGGCATGTGCCGGCGCTCAGGATGGCGAAGTGGTGCGGTGAGCGGTTCTTCAGATGCCACGGGGGCCCGTTCGAGCACGTCCAGTCTCTGATCCTGATCATGACGTTCGGTTTGCGGGCCGACGATTGGCACGTCGACGCCCACCGCACGACGAAGAAGTGCCTGGACGAGGGCGTCAGCTATGACATGATCGACGTCGGCAACAGTGGTTTCTTCGAGCTGCCCCTCCGCAGGGCGCTGCGAGCGGAGTACGTGCACCACATGGACTACTTGGCCACGCGCGTACCGGGGGCCAAGGGCAAGGGCAAGGCCAGCTGGTCGGTGTCCCCCCAGCCCGCGGTCTTCAACGAGTCGGCCATCGTCTCGCACATGGCGAGGGGATCAGTCATGGCCATGGTCAGCCCCGAGTTGCTCGCCCATGTGGCCTCGGAGATCGAGCGCAACGTCGCCATTCTCGAGCGTGTCCGCAGGGCCCGCGAGGAGAGGGCGAAGCTGGTCAAGCCTGTCAAGAAGGACAATCAGGATCAGGGGTGATGCGCGCCCCGCCTGGGCTGGAGAGACCTCCCAGCCAGCCCCGGCACGAGCACGCTCAGGGAGGGCCTCCTGGCCTGGCGTCCGGGAGGCAGCCCGCTCACAGCCACTTTTCTTGGGCCGACGAGCGGCAGCGAAACCTGCTG